GAAGGCATCTTGGGGCCATCTTCCCCTTAAGGGCCATATGGGACGTCGTGGAGGCGTCTTCGGACCGTCTTGGAGGACATCTTGGGCCATCTTGGCCCTCTTGGAGGCACATGTTCCGAATGTTGTATTTTTGCTGCGCGGCCAGCTGCAACACGCCCTCGACCTCCTTCGCAAGCAACAAGGGGGGGCGGCCATCCCGCCGCCTTGCCCAGGTGGTGGGTCAGAGGTCAGAGGCCTATTGGATGCATGTTGGGATCCCGTGGGATGCTTCTCGGGGGCCTCGAGGTAGTTATTAAGCAGCCTGGGGCCTCTTCGGGGCCTCTTCTGGGCCTCCTGCGAGCATGTTGGGGCCTCTCGGGGGCCTCTCGGGACCTCGTGGGGGCCTGCTGGCGGTCTCAGGGGTCCTCTCTGGATGGAGTGCTCGAGATGTTACTTCGCGTTGTCCCTCTGGACCCCTCATTGGGCCTGGTTGGGCCGTCTTGCTTCCATTGTGGATAAGGCCTTCCGTATTGGAGGCAGCTTGGTGCCATTTTGGGCTCTCTCAGGGCTTGCTTGTAGCGGCTTCGGGCTTTCTGGGGGGCGGTTTGGGCCGTCTTGGGGCTCAGGAAGGCTCACCCGGCACACTCCAGGAGCGGCCACTAGCGCTCTAGAATCATTTGGAAAATTTGAGGTTCGGAGCCCTTGAGAGCGCTTGAGCCTGCCAAACTCCTACAATTGTATAAGCCTTGGGGCATTGCGCTGCGTGCTGAAGGCACGGTGGCGGATAATGTGAAATGGAAGATTGTGCTCCAGGTGCACGGGTGGAGGTCGCTCCTGTCTACGATTGTGTTGTCGCCCGACGTTTCGCATAATGTCTGGCAGGCCAGGAGTGCAAACCATGTGCAGCAGTTAGTCCCATGGAGGGCGGCTCGTTTCAACAATTAGCAGGACAATCGCTAGGCACCTCCCCGATTTGATGAAGTCACTTGTCAGGGTTTCTCTGGCCCGGAGAAAGGTCGTCGGCGGTCGATTGCTATGCTGTCGCCCGAAGGACAAGCCCACGAGGCGCTCATTCTTCGAGGGGGCGCCCTCGCGGCGAGAACGGGTTCTCGGCGGGGAGTTGTGGTGAAGGGCGCGGAGCGGGAGGGTGTGGTGCAGCTTCGTTGGCGCTTCCCGGGTCTGCTCGGGTCCTCGCCGTCCTCCTCGATTAGTTCGACGGCTTGGGATTTGTGCGTGAGTGATTGTGTAATTAGGTGAGGTGTGTGTCTGTGTGTGTGTGTGTGTGTCAGTGTCAGTGTCTGAGTCTGTGTCTGTGTCTGTGTCTGTGGCTGCGTATGTGTCTCTGTGTGTTTGTGTGGGGCCCTCTTGAACTCCGCGGGCCTCCGGGAACCTCCAGGGGCCTCTTGGAACCTCCAGGGAGCACTCCGCCCCTTCTGTCGCGCCGCCCGCTGCTTGCGCAGCTCAGTGCCCAGCTGCGCGCGCAGCGCTTTTTGTCCTCCGCGCTGGTGGAGCTCTCCCAGCACCTGCGGACCGAAATGCGGCGCGGCGCGGCACGGAGGAGGCAGTGGTCTTGGCATCGCTCGGACCTGTGCATTTGTCCTTCGGCGAGGGCCACCGAGGAGCATCCTTGATCACTTGGCGAAAAAAACACGCACGACACCGAGAAAAAAACACAGGGAATGGACGTCCGAGCGATGGCGAGTGGCTCGAGAGAGAGAGAGAGAGAGAAACAAAAAAAAAACGCCATAAACACAAACGTGTGGCGCTCCGCGCGGACTTCTCGGGTCGGCGCCCCGGCCCCCCCTGGCGGCGCCTCCGGCGCCGTCGTCCCCGGCGGCGCCTCCGGCGCGCCGGGGAAGGGGGCTGCAGCGCGGACCCGAGAGATCCGCGCGGAGCGCCCAGAGTTTCTGCTTATGCCGTTTTTTTTTTTTTTGTTTTTTCTTTCTCTGCGTGGGGGGAGAGGGGAGCAGGTGCGGAGGGGGAGCACCCGGGATGGGGTCATTTATCACTTATTTTGGAGTTTTTCTTGTACAAATTCTCAAGAGCAGGAGAGGGGAAGCAGGGCGCGGAGCAGGGGTGCGGAGGGGGAGGTGCACCGGGGAGAGGGGGAGCAGTGAGAGGGACAAAGGCCGGGCGGGAGAGGGGGCACGGGGCGAGCGAGAGGAGCACGTGGAGGGCGGAGGGCGGGAGGGCGGGGCAGGAGCAAAGGGGGACAGCCGCGGGAGCAGCAGGGGGAGATCGAGGTGGCCGGGTGGGGAGAGCCCACGGGCCCGGCCCACTCCCACCCATCAGACAGTGGCGAAGCGTCCTGGCTCGCCCATAGCCCTAGCAAACAATGTTCTGAGAACCTTTTGTGGTTCCCACGAGGCGTTCTTAGAACATGGCTGGCTCTGTCTTGTTTAATCACATCGGGTTTATGGTCTAAGAACACTGTTTTTGTTATTCGAACATTTTTCGGCTCTAAGAACTTTTCGTCGTAGGACTATAGGAATGCCGGGACGGTCGGTCCCTGCTCAAACCCACACGCTCTTCCCACGCCACAGGAATCAGAGGTGGCTCAACCTGGCATCTGGGCTGGAACGCGTTTTGCACCCAGGCGAGCGGTGGCGCGTTCGCGCGGTCCCGACGGCTTGGCGTGGGACACATCCGCGGCACGCGCACGGACACGGGCGGAGCTTCCGAAGAACTTCGCGCGGCGCCGCGGCGGGCGCTCAATTCAGCCTCCCCTCGGGTGGCCAGTTTTCCGATGAGCGCGGCGAAGACGAAGCATGCGCCGCGGCGAAACAGCATTGTCACCTTCACACACATACACATACTGACTCTCTCTCTCTCTCTCTCTCTCGCTCTCACACGCACACACACACTCTCTCTCTCTCGCACACGCACGCTCTGCGCGGAGCTTCGGCCAGGACAGCTGCTCGCCAGCTCTCGCGCGGCCCCGCTGCCGCTGCCGCCGTCGTGCGCGTCGGCGGGCGAAACGGCGCCGCGCCAGCGCGGGAACGCCACGTCCGGGCCATCGTTGCGCGGAGCTTGGGCGGGGACGACAAGGTCGCCCGCTCGCGCGCGGCCCCGTCTGCAACGACTTGGCGAGTGGAGAGCTGCGGGCGCAGTTTGCATTGTCCACAACATACTCTTCGTTAACAACATACTCTTCATATCGAAAGGGAAGACGTACATGCAGTATTGCATTTATCTGTAAGATGGATATTCCCAGATGGAGTTCTACCTGCCGGTCAGGTACCAGGAGCTTGAGCATCTCAGGACGAGTGGTGGAAGGAAGGCGAGCGTTTAGGAAGAATGAGCACGGGAATGAGGGAGACGGTGGAAGGGAGAGAGAAAGTATGAGGGAAGGGCCGGGCGAGGGGGGAGGATTATGCGGACGAGGAGACTCGAGAGAGTGGGCCGGGGGGAAGGTGAGGGAGAAGCAAAGAGCGATGGGTCTGGAGAGGAGGAGTGGGAGGGGAACTCGAAGGTGGGCGCGTAACCTCAGGCATCGGGGCTATCCGTGCCAGTGCCACTTCCGCCATATGTACGTGCCGATGGGAGCACGCGGGCGCGCAGTCGCCTCGTCTCACCATGCGTACCCGTGCGTGCCCAAGAAATCCCAACCCCTGAATTGGGTGTGAGCTTGCGGCGGCACAGAAAATTACGAACGAGCAACACACATCCATACCCATAGGGGGGTCGTTGGGAGGAGCACTGGCTATGGGTATCGGTGCGGGTTGTCGGACCCTGGGGAACGCTCCCGTTCGAGCGGGGACCCCCATCCGACAACACGCACCCATAGCCCTCTCCGATCCCCCTATGGGTATGGGTGTGTGTTGTTGGTTCGTCAGAAAAGGGCGCCGCGGTGCCCAGGCATGCGATGCCTCGACTTTTGGAACACGGGGCCCTCGGAAGCCCCGACGCTTTCCCCAGCAGCTTTCTCCCCTAGGAAGTTCCCCAGGGCCAGTGCTTCATCCCGAGCAGTTTTTTGACGGGCCTGGCGAGGGCCCCTGGAGGGAGGGAGGAGGGAGGGGGACGAGTTTGTTGTCGAAAAATCACGACGTCGGGAATCTGGGAAGTGCCGCCCAGGAGACGCTGGTGGTGAACGTCATGCGGGTGGGCATATCTCGGAGGATGGCCAGCTGAGACGACCACGGCTCGCCCGTGCGGCCCCATACTGACCGGCTTGCCGCGGCGGCCCCAGGCGTGGCGACGAGAAGCCTTCGGGAGACGCAAGAAGAACGACCATCGTAGACCTAGACCCAGACCCCCTCGCGTTGCGACAAAAATCGCGACGGCAGGTTTTTCCTTCTTTTCGGCCTCCAGGGGCCCTTGCCAGGGTCCCGGGACCATCGGAAACGACTGAGGATGAAACACCTGTCCAGGGGAAGAGGTCCAGACCTCTGGGGGTCGACGCTGTTACAAATCACGATGTCGGGGGTCTGGAGATCTACAGGTAGGCACTAACACCAGTGTTGGCAGTGTTCCTCCACCGAAGGAAGATGATCCCGATCTCGGCGATGACGGTAGGATTCGGGAAAGATTACCACCAGCACCAGAATCTAGGATCACCCTGCCCCAGGGGAGAACCATTTGGTGTTGGTGTTGGCGCCCATGCCCAGGCCTCCAAGGGAAGACGCCACGGAGGGCCTTCGCTGCCTCCCCTGAGATGCGGCGTTTTGAAAGACTGACAGCATCGCTAGAGATCACGACCAGAGCCCAGCATCTTTCTGCGCCATTCTTCGACCTGGATCGATCTCTGAGGGTCCTGGGACCCGAACCCTGACGAAAACGCCTTGCGCGAAAAGATTGCATCGCCCGGATCTGAGGAAAGGCGAAACCCTGACCTTCCAGGGTGCTCAAAAGTAGCCCTCCAGACCTATTAGACCCATCTGGACTGCCTCAAAAGATCTCGACCGGAGCTTGCACGCCGCTGCCCTGGTGTTCTTCTCTGTCGGCGCTCTTGGAAGGCCAGGGCACGCCCTGGAGGCGGGCCGCGGCTGTCTCGGCGTGCCCTGCTCCGATGCTCGCTCGTCATGATGGCGAAGGCGCACGCGCTCCTCACCCTGGCGGCGCGGCCGGGGCCCACCGCGCCGCAGCGTCGCGGAGGAAAAAAACCTTTCGCGGGTGGACAGGCCTCCTACCCTGACACGTCGATTGGCGAATTGGCCGTTTTCGGTCCGCGAGAGGGCGTCGCGGCCGCCATTTTTGCGTGTCCAGGTCCGTCGGTTTCGGTCCCAGGCCGTTCTCACTAACAGGCCTCATTTCGATTGCCCCGATTCGATTCGATTCGATTTCGATGGATTCCGATTCCGATTCGATTCGACTTTGGATTCCGATTTGGGTTCCGATTTCTCACTGGATGCGTACAAGCCTGCCGATTTCAGCCGATTCGATTCCTCCCGACTTGGCTGCCGATTTCCGCCGATCCGATTCGTTTCGATCGCCGATTCGACTTATCGATTCGATTCTGGGCTCTGTCCACCGCCGCGCGGTGACGGACGGCGTGGTGAGGCATCGTGGGATGTCGAGGTCACCGCACGGTGCGTCAAAGCACCGTGTTGGGAGCCCTGAGTCCGTGTTCGTGCTGATTGGTTGCTCCTCTCTGCCTTCCCCTATGGCAGCCAGGTGAGCGGTCCCAGGCCGTTCTCACTAAAGGGAGGTTTGCTAAAGGGCGGCTTGTCCACCGCCGAATCTTCGGGGCCCCTCGGGCTGGTGGCGCGGGTGCGCGGCGCGCCCGGCTCCACCGGCTGCCCCCCGTGCGCGTCTGCGGGGGCTCCTCCTCGGCACGCGCGCGCGCAGAGCTTCAGTCGGCGAGGACAAGCGGACCCCAGGAGGGAGGAGGAGGAGGAGGAGGAGGAGGAGGAGGAGGAGGAGGAGGAGGAGGAGGAGGAGGAGGAGGAGGAGGAGGAGGAGGAGGAGGAGGAGGAGGAGGAGGAGGAGGAGGAGGAGGAGGAGGAGGAGGAGGGAGGAGGAGGAGGAGGAGGAGGAGGAGGAGGAGAGGAGGAGGAGGAGGAGGAGGAGGAGGGAGGAGGAGGAGGGAGGAGGAGGAGGAGGAGGAGGAGGAGGAGGAGGAGGAGGAGGAGGAGGAGGAGGAGGAGGAGAGAAGGAGGAGGAGCAGGAGGAGGAGCAGGAGGAGGAGGAGGAGGAGGAGGAGGAGGAGACCGTAATAACACGATGGGAACGTGGCCTCACTCAGGTCCCCGTCTTCGCTTCCGGGATGATGATTCTGGGCGGTCTGGGGTCACACATCTCTGCAGAGCAGGCGCCCCCCATCCCTGATCTGCTTGGCCCTCCTGCCTCCGGCCCCCTCCCAAAGGGTCAGGGGCCCTCTTGTTGCTCATTCTTTTCCTGGCCTGGGTGGGGCTCCCTTGCCCCCCATCCCTCATCTGTTTGGCCCTCCTACCTCCGGCCCCCTCCCAAAGGGTTAGGGGCACTCTTGTTGCTCATTCTCTTCCTGGCCTGGGTGGGGCTCCCTCGCCCCCCCCGCCTCTCCAGCCGCCTCGCGCCTCGGCGCACTCTCTCCTCCTCGTGCCTCGCTGTGCTTCGGCGCGCCCCGCCGCTGCTCGACCGCCGTCCGTCTCTGTAATGGAGGATGACGATTAATAAATGACTGGGGGTCGTGTTCACGCGGCGGCGCCTGGGATGACGATTAGAGAAAACCAGCCGCGGGTTGGAACACGATTCTTTATCATCGTTCTCCTCCAGTCAGAAAATTATATGCAGAACTAGCGAGAAACTATGTTTTAATCGTTCCCCTCCATTTTTTTGATTAATCGTCACCCCGCATTACTGAGGCCGCCGGCCGAAACAGTGTGCGTGCGGAGCTTTTTTGCGTGGAGGCCGACGGCCGAAGTTGGAGCCGGCTGGGGGTCTGAGGTGGCCCAGTATGTCAAGCAGTGGCGAAGCGTCCTGGCTCGCCTACAGCCCTACCAAACAATGTTCTAAGAACCTTGTGTGGGTGTGGTTTCCACGAGATGTTCTTAGAACATTTCTGGCTGGGACTGTCTTGTTTTAACACATCGGGCTTCTGTTCTAAGAACATTGTTTCTGTTCTTAGAACATTTTTGGGTTCTAGGAACATTTCGTGGTAGGACCATAGAAATGCCGGGACGGTCGGTCCCTGCTCAACAGGAGGACGGGAGGGAAGGATTCGAGGTGCTGGCTGAGTGCGTTTGGTGTTCGCCTTTTTCGGCCTCCGGGGGCCGTTTTCTGGGCCCGCGACCGCCAAAAACGGATCCAGTGTGAAAAGTTGCACCAGAGGGGCCCCGGGTCGGGGGACCGATTTTGACCGTATTCGCTCGCATATCCCCCTATCCTGAGCGATCTTCTCGGCACCCATTTAGATCATACCCCTCTGGCCTCCTCCAGTCCGAAGCATCAGCCAGAGCAGGGGAAGGATGCGCAGATGAAAGCAGTGTCGGAAGCTGATAGTTCGGTAGCAAATCATGGGAGCCTGGTGTACCCTCTCAATTCTGTCTTGAGCGTCGATTAGCATCCATTTGCTTTTGCGAGTCGATGAGGTAGCGCCGATTTAGCGTCGACTAGCGTCGATTTAGTTTCGGTTAGCGTTGACTGGCGTCGATCAGCGTCGATTCGCAAGAGCTGACAAGATGGTATGGGAGGTCCCCATGAGTTGCCACCGAATGGTAGAGAACCCCGGAGCCTGTCAAGTCGATTCGCGAATCGTTAGCTTCGGATCGCGTCGGCCCTGCGGCCGCAATTTCTGTGGGCCTGTGCCCGACGGGTCTGCTCCCAGGTCGTTTTTTCCGAGGGGGTGCTTCGACGAGAGGGGGCTCTGCCCCCCCACCCGACAATGGCGGCTAAGCCACTGGAGCGGGCGGAGTGCTGGGACCGGGCGGAGCTTGACACCACTGCGCCGCAAGAGAGTCGGGGGCGGAAAAGAGGGGGGTGATGACTAGGGGGGGGGGGATATCATGGCGGGGGCCATGATATTTCTCCAGATTTCATGGCGCCTCTTCTTATTTCATTACGTCCCTGGCCCCCCCGCTGGGCCGCGCACATGCCGCCGGTCATGATTTGCACCCCCCCCTCTTGGACACCCCCCTCTTTGCCGCTCCCGAGAGAGCACGGCGCCAGGTGCATCTCTGCAAGCTTCTGCTTCCTGGGGCCCTTGAGCCGGCGACCCGGGAGGACCAGCCGGCCCCGGAGAAGGGACGCCGAGATCTCTTCAGGGGAACAAAGGGAGACATGAACATAACAATTCGGAGGTCCGCGCGGACTTCTCAGATCGGCGCTGGGGCTCCCCTCCCTGGCGCGCGGAGCGCGCCAGGGGCGGCGCGCGGAGGCGCCGCCGGGGGGAAGTCCACGCGGACCTCCGAGTTGTTATGTTTCTGCCACTTGTTTCGGGTCGGACGAAAGGGGGGGATAGCAAAGGGGGGGCTTGAGAATCAGCTGGCGTAGCTGATTTTCCCGGCGCCTCCAGGCGCCGGTAGGCGCGCCCATGTATCGAGGAATGGGCCCGGCGGCGGGGCCGAAACCAGCTGCATGCAGTAAATTTCGGAACCCCCCCTTTCCCAATCCCCCCCTTTCGTCCAGCCCGATTGGTGTTCCTCTACTCTTGGAGCGCCCGGTAAGAGACTCGACGCCGGCTGTTCTGCTCCGTTCTGCGCTCGCGTGCACTGCGACTCGATAATTGTCGGTTGGTTGGGGCTGGTTGGTGGATGCATTGTCTTGCATCGTCTTCTCGGCATCAGTGCCAGAGCGTCGACGGTCTGCAAGGTATCTCTGCATCATAGTGTGTTGCTCGAACTCGCCGAGCAAGCAAGGGCACAGCCAAGGCTGCAGAGCCTTGGCCGAGCAGACAACATCATCGCCAGGGCGTGGGTGTGGCCAATTCCCTACTCGCTGCTCTGCTCCGCTCTGCGCTTTCGCGTGCTCTGCCCTACCCTGCCCTCGAAAGTGCTGGTGCTCTCGCTGCGCCCCCCCATGCGGCGGGGCCGCTCCCCGGGCGCACGAGGGCGAGCGTTAAGTCGGGCCTGTCTCCCTACAGGGGGATTTTCGACGGAAAATAAAAAATACCCCAAAAATGCACCAGAAAAGCCAAAACATATTCAAAAAATAGTCCCCAGACTATTTTTGGATCATGTTTTGGTCATTTATGGGGTATGATTTATTTTTCATCGAAAATCCTCCTGTAGGGGGACACGCCCGACTCAAGGCGATCGCCGGGGTGCGCCCGTCCTCGTTCCCGGCCCCGGGCGGGAGCACACCGTGCGGTGAGTCAGTGGGTCGGGTTGACGCAAGAGGGGGTCCAGCGACAAGGGGGTGGTGCAATAGATATGGTGCAATAGTCAAACCGTGGCGAAGCGTTTTGGCTCGCCTATAGCCCTATCGAACACTCCAGAAATGTCCTAAGAACACTTCGTGGTAGGACTATAGGAATGCCGGGACAGTCGGTCCCTGCTCAAAATAGATGTGCGGGGCTGCAGTACATCTGGGGCGTGCAGTACACATCTCGGGGCGCAGATGTGTTGCTGCATCTTCGCGCGCAGTGCGGTACTTGCAGCGCAAGGCAATACACCTTAGGCGATGCTTAAGAAAACCTAAGTTTTCGGCCAGAGTCTCGATTATTCTTAAAGTTGCCATGTAAATCTTCAGATTTTAATGGAAACGTTGGGTTTTTTTAGTCAAGGTCTGAGACTATGAATTTCTTAGCCCATGATTTCTTCAGCATTTCGCAGGGTGTACAATTCTCCGGCGCAGTACACTCGCAATACACTTGCCCCAGATCTATTGCACCACCCCCTTCCAGCTGGACCCCCTCTTTGGGGTCACCCAAAAGTGGTCGGCACGAGCGACATGGGTACGGAAAGAATGGCTACAATGCCCAACAGCAGTTCCTGCTCATTTTGAGCAGGACTCGCTGTCCGCGCCGCCGCGGCCCGTGTCCATCTGAGGCAGGAGGCCTCCTGCCCGACAGCGGCCGCTGTGGGTTTGGGACAGCATTTGTTGTTGGGCATTGTGCCTATTTTTTCCGTACCCATTTCGGGCGTCCAAAAGTGGGGGTCGGGGGGGTGCCTCACGGTTTGGGGGCGTGGGTTCAGGCGACCAGGGCTTCCGAGGTCCCTGAACTGCGCGGTTCGGAGGTTGATAAGCCTCCTACCCTGACACGTCGATTAGCGAATTGGCCGTTTTCGGTTCGCGAGAGGGCGTCGCGGCCGTCATTTTTGCGGGTCCAGGTCCGTCGGTTTCGGTCCCAGGCAGTTTTCACTAAAGGGAGGTTTACTGAGGGGAGGTTTGTCCACCGCCGAGCGGTGACAGACGGCGTGGTGAGGCATCATGGGATGTCGAGGTCACCGCACGGTGCGTCACAGCACCGTTGAGGAGAGGAAAAAACACACATACACAATTAATCGTCGATTCCCAGGAAAATATGGGAAAATACTGGAAGTGGGGGGGAAGACAGAAATCCAGAAAATATACGAAAATATGGGGAATCCTTTTATTTGTGTGTATTTATTTGTGTCCTGGGGCCCCTTCAACCGTGTTGGGAGCCTTGAGTCCGTGTTCGTGCTGATTGGCTGCTCCTCTCTGCCCTCCCCTCTGGCAGCCAGGTGAGCGTGCTGCCGGTCCCCTTCGCCCTGGTGCTCATCAAGCGGACGGGCAGGATCGTCGGCAAGTACGGGGTGATGCAGAACGACGCCCTCGCCCGCGTCAACGCGGTGGCCAGCGAGGCTGGCCCCCGGGTCCGAGCAGCCGCTCGCCGCCCCGGGGCGTCGGACACGGGGGGGGGGCCCAAGCGAGAGAGGCGAGAGAGCTGCGGTGTTCCAGAAAGGGCCTCGCCTTCGTTCGGTAGCAATCCGTGGGAGCATTCTATATATCTTCGGAATTCCGTCTGCAGAGTCCACTCCCAGGAGTTAGCGTCTGGTAATCCATGAGACAGCTCCGCTTTGGCGTCGGACAGCGCCGGTCTAGGGTCGATTCGCGTCGATGTGCAGGAGCCCACCGGATGGTATGGGAGGCTCCCGCGAGTTGCCGCAGAATCTTCGAGCACCAAGGGAGCTGACATCTGCTCCTCGGCGGCAGGCGGTGGGCGGACGGCGGAGGGCGGCGGAAGTAGAACGAGGCTGCCTCCGCCGGCGGAAGCCAGCGGGAGCCAGCCGGCCTCAGCTGCTCCTCGCAGAGCCACCCCCACAGAGGCGGGGCTGCGTGCGGGGCGGGGTCGGGGTCATTTCCTGGACCTTGCCCCATCCACACACCCTCGCTGCAGGGCATCCGATCTAGTTTTTGTTTTTGATTGCGTCTGGCACAGGTTGAGTCGAGACCGAAGCCCGCCACGACACGTCCACTAACCGGTTAGGGCGTGGTGGTGGAAAACAAGATCCGCGCATCAGTTGCCAAAAAGATTGCAGTTTCTGGGGTTCAGGACTTCCAATTGTTTCCTAATCCGCCGGTTGCATGGGCTGGCGGATCCGATCGGAGTCACCCCAACATACTAATACTATTTGTGCGTCGCCTCCCCAGTGGAGTCGCGGGCACAGAGAAATCTTACAGTATTTGCGTCGTGGCGGGCTCTGTCTGGCGACACCGCCCGGGAAACGATATGCTACGGGTCGGACGCGCGCCTCCAAGGAGGACATAAACATACATATATATATATATGTGTATATGTAGATATCTATATAATTATATATGTATTACTAGTCAGAGTCAGGGGGCCGAACGGACATTCATTGTCCTTGGGTGCGTGGCTGAATAAGGGATTCGTGGTCAGAAGTATGTTTGTTGCGACGTCGTTGTGGTTGTAATTGTTATTGTTGTTGTAGTTGTAGTTGTAGTTGTAGTTGTAGTTGTAGTTGTTGTTGTTGTTGTTGTTGTTGTTGTTGTTGTTGTTGTCGAATTCTCATTTCTGAAGAATAATTATTTATGATCCCCCCCACCGGTGCATACTGCTCTTTCTCAATCAAAGCGTGCCCCTCGACGCTCGCACCCTGTTTTTTGGCATTGAAAGTTTTCCTGCTCAAACTGGGCCCCTGGCCCCCGGGTTACAACAACAACGGCTCCCGCCTGAGACTTCCTTACAATTTAGCCAGGACTCCCGCTCCCGCCCGAGACTTCCTCGCATTTTATTCAGGAACTTCCTTGCAATTTATTCAGGAATCGCTCTCCCGGCGCTCTGGAGTCGCGCTCTCGCTGGAGACATGCTTGCTAGCCTTGCGTTGGAATTTTCTGCAATTTGCCCAAGCGCCGCGCTCCCGACACCCAGGCACCCAGGAGTCGCGCCCGTTGTGGCCCCATGTGCATGCCCTTCGAGGCCCCGCTGTCGCCATTTGTGTCCCCCTCACTGTCCTACGTGGCCCAGTTGCTACCCTCAGTGGCCCGATAGTTGCCTTCTGTGGCCCCGCATTATCTGCACTTCATGGCCTCTCTCGTTCGTGCTCTTCGTGGCCCCATACGCATTCCCTTCGTGTCCCCGCTGTCGCCCTTCGTGGCCTACCTCGTGCCCTTCGTGGCCCTGCTGTCGTTCTCTCTCGCTCTCGCTTTCGCTCGTCGTCGCCGTCGTCGTCGTCGCC